TATATATATATATATAATTATATATATATATATATATAATTATAAATATAACATTAGATAAAATAAATTTTAGTTATTGAAATAAAAGATATTATAAATAATATTGTGTAAATAATATTATGAATAGTTATTCAAATTTGACAAAATACTTACTAAAATAATAAAAGAGTAAATTATTTTTTTATAATGAGTAATTATTTGAATTTAAAAAGTAGTTACTAAAATGATAAAACTAAAAATATTTTTTTTATTATGAATAATTATTTAAATTTAGAAAATAGTCATTAAAAGCGTAAAATTAAAAAAAGAAAACAAAAAACATTAAGTAGGTGTATTTTCTTTATATATGGTCACATCTTACGTGTAATTGTGTCTACTTTTTTTTATTTTATGATAATCAAAATAATAAAATTATTGTTAATGTTATTATTATATCTATAAAATTTAATATTAATATTATTTATAATTTTATTATAAATAGTTTTTATTTATTTTGTAGGTAATTTTTCAATTAAAAAATGTTAAGTTTAAAAAGTATCAAATAAAAAAAATTAAAATTCCAAGAAACCAAAGCTTAAATAGTAAAGTTGGTAAAATAATTATTTAAATTTATAAAAAATTATTAAATAAAATAATTAAAAAATAAGTATGGTCACCAAAAAGGGAAATTTCCTATATAAATATAGAAAGATAGATATAGATATTGATACATACTAGTGAAAACATATCGCATATGTTTTCACATTTTGAAGATAGTAAAAAATAATAAATTTATTATTATTATTATCATAATTATAAATTTAATATATAAATAATCTTTATAATTTTATTATAGTGTTTTTATTTTATAAGTATTTTAAAATGTTTAAATTTTAAAAAATTGTCATTTAAAAGATAAATTTGGTAAAATATTTATTTTACTGTAAAAAATTTATTTAAAGAATAAAATTGGAAAATAAAATGTGAAAAACGAAAAAGTGAAATTTTTATATATACTATCGAATAGACACTATTTGTCCGTGTTTGCAATTTTTTAAATATTTATTATGAACAAAGCATAATATTTATTTGTATGCATATATTTTAAAAAATATATATTAATTTTCTTAAAAAGTATATTATATCTTTCAATGATTTTTTTTAATTCCTATGAACCACATCATACATAATTTTTTCAATTTTAAAAAACTAAAAACAAAAATTAATGTAATGTATGACACATTAATAATATATAATGCAATATAAAGGATTAAATAAATAATCAAAATTTTGCAAATGTGTGACAATAAAATATTTGCTTCTTAAACAATTTTATTTTATTATTTTATTTATTTTTATGGTGACAAATATCATTTTTTACTAATATTAAAATTGTGTTGTATTCTTATATTTTTACTATGTTTTACATTTTCTTAATATTAAATCTTTATTTTATAGAATTGTCTAATGATTTTATCATATTAAGATAAATTATATTTAAAATTTTCATTAATAAATTTTTATTATGGTTTTGTTACGCTCTTTTAAGGAATTCTAAAAGTGGATTCCAAAACTTTGATTCTTTCATAATTTTTTTTTGGAGTTTATTCATCTATTCTTTAACATTATAATAAACTTTTAAAATTTAGTGAAAACATATATTATTATTATCATTATTTATTATTATCATTATTTATTATTATTATTATTATTATTAGGTTTAAATATTAATTGAAAGTGTAATTGAATAGTAAGATTATATAATTTTATATTAAATATCTATTCTTAGTATTTATTATATGTTTTCTCAATATTAAAAGTAACAAATATTTCACTCTACTTGATGTATAATAATATTTATTATTAAAATAGTAAAATTATTAAATAAAATTACATACGAAATCATAATAAAATAATTTATTATGGTGACCAATATATTTAAAATTACCATCATGTTCATTATTTAAATTAGAAAAGTAATGTAACTCTAATGGCTTGAAATCATTGTCAAGCCTTCACAACCTTACGAAACCTTTGCAAGTAACACAATGACATAAGCAAAAGCAAAGGTTGTAAACCTTCGAGAAGTCTTTGTAAAATCTGATAAAAGAATTCAATTGGAAAAAGTTTCACTCTCGGAAATTTCATTGTATAAATTGGGCTCCTTTTATAAGAAACAGTGAGCTCTTGAAATGAACCTCTCTCCTATTAAACTATAACTATTTTCCTCTTTGGTTCATGTAACCCTATGAAATGGATGCCTATTACTTTCAACATGAAGTACATTTCATTTCGTTACAGATAATCCATAACTTAGAGACAGTAAAGAAGCTCAGAGGTGAGAATCAACTATACAATATGATTTGCATGTGCAACTTCACGAGGCCGATTGCATTTCCCTCTTCATTAATTCCTGCAACGTGAAGAAACAGAATTGCAACATCAACAATAACATTAATCTTATATGACCCTTCAATCTCAAAGGTGGTTATTGTCAATCAGTGTTACCTGTTGGGTGGCCATAACTAGCAAGCGCTCTTTCTCCTTCTTCTTTCGTTTGCATTCTTCACACCAGCTAGAGAAATCTCTCCGATATTTCTTCAACTCTCTAAAAGCCGAACTGCATGATAGCATGAAGGTTCATGCATATGAAGTTGACCAGAACTATGCTTAAAAAATTTCCAATCTAAAGTCACATGGGGAAGTGTGTGAAAAATTTGCTGCCTCAGTGAAACAAGGGGTGTGCTGTGTTAATTTCCATCTACACCAGAGAATGAAAAGATGCAAATACCTTCTACACCAGAGAATTAAGTTTATCCGATTCCCAGATGTTGTAGGTCTAGCACCATGCCGATGACGACCTGGATGAAGAATTGCATGTCCTGGAACATGGTAGTAATCGAAGTTCTCCTACATACATATGTTTGGTGTTATATATTTAACAAAGTAAAGATGTTCATAGGAAATTTGTATACTTGTAACTAATGTCACAACTTTTGGTCAATATCATGTTCTAATATTGCCATAATGTTATTCAATTTCAGGATGAACGATATGAAACGTACAACTCAGAAATTTAGTGTTTTTCAATTAATGCACTGTGGAAATAAATTGCTGGGTATGAGACTGGAGTCTCACATTAGAAGTATGTTGTTATATCAAGGAACCAGGGATACGGAACCATCCAGAATAGTGGAAGGGTATGAATAATGAACTGGTGGGTAATACCTCTTTAAAGTTTAAAACAGAAATCAGATGCATGCTGGAGATCAATGAAGTTAAATATAAATTATTCAGCTTAAATAAGAGTAAGGTAGTAAGCATACCACTGGTTGGATATCTGAATTTACATGTTCATCACATCGAACACCCCGGAAGAACAGTTCTCC